GAGGCTCGGACTAAAACTCGGTCCCCCCATCCAGCATTGCGCCCGAGCGTGCCTCTAGCCCCAAAAAGGCGACCAAGAGGCTCGCGGATGCCCCCAGCAGCACCGCAGGAAGACTTCAGGGGATCTTCAAAAAGGCTCCCAGGCAGCCCCAACGAGACCTCCGAAAAACGCTAAAAACTACCAACAAACAGTACATATTTGATCAACGCTCAAAGGGGGGATCTCGAGATCCCCCCTTTGAGAGTATATGAAACATGCGTTGAACAAAAAACTGACGTTTTGAGTCCTGGTAAACATGCTTTCGAAGAGCTCCCTGACAGTCCGAAATACAATCAAACAAGTTGTTCCAACAACTCCTCAATATCGCCTCAAGAAGTCTCCCTGACCGCCAGGAACGGCCAAAGAAGTTTCCAAGACGGCCAACACATATGAGGCTCGGACTAAAACTCTGTCCCCCCATCCAGCATGGCGCCCGAGCGTGCCTCCGATGATGATGAGATTTCTTATTATTATTGTTATTATTGTTGTGATGATGATGATGAGGAGGAGGATTATTATCATTGTGATGCTGATGATGCTGATGAGGATGAGGATGAGGATGAGGATGAGGATGATGATGATGATGATGATGATGATGACGATGCCGATGATGATGATGATGATGATGATGATGATGATGATGATGATGATGATGATGATGATGATCATGATGATCATGATGATCATGATGATCATCATCATCATCATCATCATCATCATCATCATCATCATCATCATCATCATCATCAAGGCAAAGGGCCGCCCACCCGACCCGCCCGCAAGGGTCCGCTGCCCGACCCGCTCATTAGTGCCCGCCCGCCCCGCCCGCGAGGGGCCGCCGCGCGACCCGCCCACTAGGGTCCGCCCGCCCCGCCCGCCTCTTAGGGTGCGCCGCCCGACCAACCCGTTTGGGTCAGAGACTTCCGAGACACGCTAAAAACTACAACAAACATTACAGATTTGATGAACGCTTAAAGGGGGGATCTCGAGATCCCCCCTTTGAGGGTAGCGGTGTGGGTCCTGGTAAACATGCTTTCGAAGAGCTCCCCAGCGGTCCGAAATGCAATCAAAAAAACGAATGGTTGTTTCGAAAGGACGTCAAGATCGCCTCGAGAAGGTCCCCCCGGTCGCCAAGAATGGCCCACGAAGCTTCCAAGACGGCCAAAACATATGAGGTTCGGACTACGACTCGGCCCTCCCATCCAGCGTGGCGCCCGAGCGTGCCTCCGTGCCTCCGAGCCCCAAAAAGGCGACCAAGAGGCTCGCGGATGCCCCCAGCAGCCCCCCAGAAAGGCTTCAGGGGATCTTCAAAAAGGCTCCCAGGCAGCCCCAACGAGACCTCCGGAAAACGCTAAAAACTACCAAACAACAACACATATGCAATCAACGCTCAAAAGAGGGATCTCGGGATCCCCCTTATATCAAAAATGCGATGAACAACTGACGTTTTGAGTCCTGGTAAACATGCTTTCGAAGAGCTCCCCGGCGGTCCGAAATGCAATCAAACAAAGCTAAGGGTTGTTCCAACAACTCCTCAAGAACGCCTCAAGAAGTCCCCCTGGCCGCCAAGAACGGCCCAAGACGCTTCCAAGACGGCCAACACATATGAGGCTCGGACTAAAACTCGGTCCTCCCATCCAGCGTGGCGCCCGAGCGTGCCTCCGAGCCCCAAAAAGGCGACCAAGAGGCTCGCGGATGCCCCCAGCAGCCCCCCAGAAAGGCTTCAGGGGATCTTCAAAAAGGCTCCCAGGCAGCCCCAACGAGACCTCCGGAAAACGCTAAAAACTACCAACAAACAATTCCTATTTGATGAACGCTCAAAGGGGGGATCTCGAGATCCCCCATTTTTGAGAGTATATGAAACATGCGTTGAACAACTGACGTTTTTGAGTCCTGGTAAACATGCTTTCGAAGAGCTCCCTGACAGTCCGAAATACAATCAAACAAGTTGTTCCAACAACTCCTCAATATCGCCTCAAGAAGTCTCCCTGACCGCCAAGAACGGCCAAAGAAGCTTCCAAGACGGCCCAAGACGGCTCCAAGAGCGCCTCGGAGAGCCCAAGATGGCCTCCGAGATGGCTCAAGATAGGGCCTCGAGGTAGCTCCAAGATGGCCCAAGAGGGCCACAAGAGAGGCCCAAGAGAGCCCAAAGACGGCCCCAAGAGCGCCCCAAGAGCGCTCCGCCCGCGCGCGCCAAATCTGGGCCCTAGCCAAGCCCGCGCGGACCAAATTTGGTCCGCACGGTTGGGCCCCCCACGGGCCCTGCCCGAGCCCGCGCAAACCAAATTTGGTCCGCACGGTGGGACCTCCCACGGGCCCTGGCCGAGCCCGCGCAGCCAAGTTTGGTCCGCACGGTGGGACTCTCACGGGGCCCTGGTCGAGTCTGCGCGGACCAAATTTGGTCCGCACCGTGGGCCCCCCACGGTGCCCTGCCCGAGCCCGCACGGACCAAATTTGGTCCGCACCGTGGGCCCCCAACGGGTCCCTGGCCGAACCCGCGCGGACCAAATTTGGTTCGCACCGTGGGCCCCCCCGCGGGGCCCTGGCCGAGTCGGCACGGTCCAAATTTGGTTCGCACCGTGTGCCCCCCCACGGGCCCCGGCCGATCCCGCGCGGACCAAATTTGGTCCGCACCGTGGGCCCCCCCCGCGGGCACTGGCAAAGCCCCGACTAGACCAGGAGATCCGGAAAAAGGCTCCCAGGCAGCCCCGATTAGACCTTTGAGAAACTTTTTACGATCTACAAACAAAACACAACATATCCGATGAAAGCTCAAAAGGGGGATCTGGAGATCCCATCATCATCATCACCATCATCAGCATCATCATCATCAGCATCATCATCCTCATCATCACCAGCATCACCATCACCATCATCATCATTGTCATCGTCATCGTGATCGCCATCGACGTCGACGTCGTCATCGTCATCGTCGTCGTCATTTTGGCTCAAGACGGCACCCTGTCAGGACGGGCACTCGTCGTGTCCAGGTCCCCGAGCTCTCTCGCACCCCCGCACTCTCGCTTTTGACAGACACTTGGAGCGCGCATTTTGCAGCAGCCATGTTCGCGCCGATGCCTCCGCTCCCGCCCCCCGCCGCGGCCGCCGGCGTCGCGGGGCCCGACGCCGAGGGCCGTCGGATCCGCCCGAAGACTGGCGAGGCCCCTGCCGCCGTGGAGCTGGACGACGAGGAGCTGACGGACGCCGAGGCGGCCCCTGTGGGTGGCCGCGCCAAGCTGCCGCCACCCCCGCAGGATCCGTCGCAGATGGCATTGGCCCAGTATATCATCAGCGCGGTGACCACGAGCACGAGTGTGAAGGTGGACGCTGTCGAGGCCCAGGTCGCGGCCCTGCAGACCACGGTGAACTCCAGCTCGGCCTCCATCTCGTCCATCCAGGCTGAGCAGCGGGCCCAGCGCGCTAGGCTCGACGCCCTGGAGGCAGCCTCGCGCGCCCCGTCGTCAAACGCCAGCACGGCCGCTGGCCGCGGAGCTCCTCTGCGACCTGGACTGGGCTCGGGGCAGGCGTGCCAGGCGGACCCGTGGAGCGACTTCCTTCGCAGAAGCCCAGGCGACCAGTATCAGTTCGTCGCTCCCCAGGCTCAGCGCGGAGGAAAGAATACGGAGCACGTGGTTTTCGCGGCGGGCTTTCCGGCACGTGGGACAAGGGCGAGGTCGAGACCCGCCTTCGTGCGAAGTTGAGCGAGAGGGCCTCGCTCGAGTCGCAGGGCATCGCTGAGATTTACGGCGTAGGGCGATGCTGTGATCAGGCGAAGGTGGTTTCCGGAAGCAATCGGCAGATGTGGAATTTCATGAAGGCCTGGAAGGGTCGCAAGATACCATGCCAGGGGGGCAAGAATGACCAGCTGTGGCACAAAGTTGACCAGGGGCCCTACGAGGTGGAGTTGTCGAGGCGAGTCTCCTACGCCGCCAGGCTGCTCAGAGAATATGGTGAAGCCGAGAACCTCTGCACAGCGGACTCGAAGATGAAGACTTCCGACGGCGACTGGGACCGCGGCCAGGCGGCCTTTCCTCGCAATGGGAACGAGAGGCCGATCAGGATCCTGCAGCGCTCGCGCGCCACGGATCTGATGGAGATCTGCACCGAGCCGCTGGCCAAGGCGCTACTAGACCAGGAGCTCGCCGAGTTCAAGCTCTCCGAGCGGCTCGGGGAGATCAATGACCCGCCCAGACCCCAGTGATTCAAGTCGAGGGGTCGCCGCTTTGCCAGGGACGTCAGGTATCTCGCAGTTCTGGGGTGGAATGCGAGAGGCGCCCGTGGCACCAGGAGGCGGCGACAACTCCTTGACGACTTGCATGATGAATTTGATGTTCGTGCTATCCTTTTCCAAGAGTGGTGCGTGGCTGGTGGAGCCGTGCAGCCCTTCGATGGCTATGTCGTTCACGCGTCGCCTCCAGCGGGGGCCTGGCAAAGATGCGCGATAGCGGTCCATGAATCCCTGGCCCCTTCCATCGTGGGCCCGCCGTGCTTCCACACTCGCACCGTGCTCCTGGACTTACAGCTACCTGTCTGGGGACACGTTCGTCTGATTACGAGCCGCCAGTTTTCTCGCATTGTTCGTTGTGAATACGCTGAGACCATCGCGCAGCTCTGGGAGTGTCTGATCACGGTGCCTGTTGATTGCCATGCCATAGTCAGCGTCGACGCCCAGGACGGCCTGGGGATTGGGGACGGAGAGACGGTTGGCCAACACTCGGCCACCAAGATGACATGGCGGGGTGAGATGCCATTCGATCTGATGACTGAATTCGACCTAGTTGCCACCAACACTTTCGCACGAGGACAATGGGGACAAGCCACATGCTACTACGACAACCGAAAAGAGCCAGGACATATCGACTTCATGTTGTGCCATCGCGACGGGCTCACTTCAGTGACGTGCCAGGCCCGCTTCACGGACGCAGAGCAGAGCGACCATCTTCCCGTACTATTGCGCTGCCATGCGTCCCCCGACGATCACCGAGCACGAGCAAGCCATCGCGGAAGCTGACCTGATGGAGAAACCGCCACGCAAGCCCGTCGCCTGGCAGCTGGAGGACGCCCATCTTTTCAATGAGACGGTCTGCTCGACGCTGCAGGTGCCGCACTTCCCGACCGCGACGGGCGGCTTCACCGAGGGCGACCTCGCGAACGCGCTGGGCATCTTCACGGACGGCTCGGCGCGGGGGCGGAGATATGGGAAGCACCAGGCCTCCTGCGCAGGATGGGGCTTTGCCGTCTACCGCGCCACCTCGCCACGCGACCAGGGCGAGCTGATGGTCGAGGCGTGTGGCCCTGAGGCCACCACTCCTCAGGACCCCCGCTACTTGGGCGCGTGCTCCATCACAACGAACACGGGGGAGCTCTCGGCGATCGTGGAGGCGCTCCTATGGCTGCTGGGGCAGCGGGGTTCCTCGGAGCCAACGGCCCAGGACGGTGGACTCATCCAGGTGGTTACCGACTCGACGTACGTACAGGGGCTCATCGCCGAAGTATTCCAACCGCGTGAGAACGCTCCTCTGGCGATCCTGGCCGTGCACTTGTGGAAGAGGGCTGCCGCGTATTTTGACTTGCACATATGCTGGGTCAAGGGACACAGCGGCAACATTGGCAATGAGAAGGCGGATTTTTGGGCGAAACGAGGTGCTGACAGGCGCTTTCACACAGCCCATTGGAGACGGCCATGCCCTGCTCACGATTGGGGAGCGGAAGAGTACCGCAAACGAGTTAGCGATCACAAGATCGCCGAGACCAGAGCCCGCAAACGACGTTGCTCGGAGATATCCAGGGAGGATGGCGGCGACACACCTTCGCACAGTTCTTCAACCCGCAGCCGAGGCTGGCAGCGTGCTCCAGACAGGGCACCCCCTCCATCTCCGCGCTGACGGCGGCGATCTCCGCTGGCGCAGCTGTGGCCGGCCACGCCCCTCGCCGAGGGCGCCGGAGACCCCCGCAGGGCGGCCCCGAGCTCCTCCACCTGAAGCGCCTGGAGCAGCTGCGCGCGCAGGAGTCGGACCTCCGCGCGCGGCACTTGCTGGGGCCCGCGGTGGCTGAGGCCAAGCGCGCCCTGAGGGGCCGCTGCGACACCGTCCACCTGGAGCGACTGCGCGCGAGGGGGCGGGCCGACAGACCCTACCGCTCGGGCAAGCCCGTGCGCGAGCTGAAGACGGACGACGGCTTGAGCGCCAACACCGCGCGGGCCCGCTGCGAGCTGACCCGCGCCTTCTACGCCAACCTGTTCGCCGACCCGACCAGCGACCAGGCCCTGCCCGCCTGGGTGCATAGCCAGTGGACCGCCGAACGCCAGCAGGCTGAGGTCCCTCTCCCCCTTCCTCTTCTCAAAACAGTTTTGGGGCAAGTGAAGAGTAGCAGATCGTGTGCCGAGTCTGGCATGATCGTGGCTGAGATGATCCAGGGACTCCAGGACGACGCCCTCGAACAGATCCTCGCGGCCTTTCGCCTGAGACTCTGCAACCACGTGAGTGAGTATTTCGACCAGGCCTGGACTGAGCACGTCGTTCCGCTGATCCGCAAGAAACCCGAGGCCCAGAAGGTGGCCGAGTTCAGACCCATTGCCCTGGTCTCGGTGCCGCTGAAAATCCTGTCAATGATGGTCCTGGAGGCCCAGCGCCCTATCCTGGAGACCGATCGTTGCGAGTGCCAGTTTGCGTTTCGCCGTAGTTATCAGGCGCGCGAGATTATATATAGCCTTCGTCATCTAGTTGAAAAGTTTTGTGCATATCGTGACCCCCCACTCGTGGTCGCGGGAGGAGACATCCGTAAGTTTTATGACTATATCCGACATCCCCTCCTGGCACAGCGCTTGGATGAGCACGGAGTGTCCCGCATCGCTAGCAGCTTCTGGATTAGAGAGACCCGCAACTCTGCCGCTCGTACCCGATTGCCTGGCAACCCTCTCACCAAAAGCGTCCGTCGGGAGAGGGGCCTGATCCAGGGGGGGCCCAGCGGCGCCCGAATTGAGCAACGTTTTCCTGGATGCGGACCTCCGTAGATTCCAGCACCTCTGCCGAGAAAACGGGTCTGTCTCGCGATGCCAGGGGGGGGGGGGGGGGGGGAGATTCAAACCTAGGGATTATGAGTTTTGCCGACAACTTCTGGCTTCTAGCCCTTTCGGCCTCGATGGCCGCAGTCATGACCGAGAACTGGCTTCGTATTTTGAACAGAAGCGGCCTGGAGGCCCCAATCAATGAGGTGGAGTGGCGCCACGCGTACCCTTCTTATATCGGCACGCTTCGCGTGAATGGCACCTCGACCCCCTGCCGCGAAAGGGCGGAAGGTCTCAAGGTTTTAGGAGCGCACATAGCCTTCGATCGCAGTTGCACGGCGGAGGTGGGCAATAGGATCCAACGTGCGTGGCGCACGTGGGCTGTACACAAGAATATGCTGGTCAATCCCAAACTTAGCCTCAGCAAGCGACTCAAAGCCTTGGACCGCTGTGTTCGCCCTGCCTTCACTTACTGCATCGGAAGCCTGCATTTGACGGTCTCTGGGCTTAGCCGCCTCTCCAAATGTCAGAGTACTATGCTGAGACGTATAGTCCGCCCGCCCCCAGCCGACACTGCAAAAGGATATATGAAGAATGCCATGTCACTAGTTGCCGCCACCCGCACTAGGCACGATATCGAGCCGTGGCCACAAACCTGCAGACGCCTGCCCCACGCTTGGGCAGGACATCTCCAGGGAATGGCCCTGTCCAGCTCCGATCGCATAGCCAATCGCGTTCTTAGGTATCGGGACAGGTCCTGGATGACGTCTATGCAACGTTCCTCGGGCCCCCAGTTGCATCATCGCACGGCGGAAATGCGGCGCTGGGAGAGAGACTTCTATAACTTTTGTTGTTTCGACTGGCTCGCCAAACCATGCTCTAAGCAGTCATGGGCCGATGGGCAGCGCGCTTGGCTTGAATGGCGCCGAACTTTGAGATAAGCCCAGACTGCCCCTATTAAGTAGTTCCAGCTCAGCAGCGTCGGGGCCGGGAGCCGCCTTTTGCAAGACGCTTACGAAACGAGACGAAATCAAATCGTCGTCGTCAGCGCCACCATTATCAGCAGCTGCATCGTCAGCATCTTCACTATATTCATCGATCGTCGTCGTCGTCGTCGTCATCAACATCATCGTCATCACTATCAGCATCATCAAAATCAAAATCGGCCTTATTAATTACCAACATCATCATCCTCATCAT